TAACTTGTTACTAGATTGTCATCTAACTTAAATTAATGTTCTCACAGAGCAGGAGAGAGGGGGGAATGGAGAGGTAGATAGAGTATTAGGGGTCAAATATGTGGTGACAGAAAAAAATCTAATTATGGGAGAGGAACACACAATACAGTATATATCTATACACACACACCTTATGGTTAAGTCGTATACCTGAAACTTGCTGGATTTCATTAACCAATGTCACCAATAAATAAATAAATAAATAAATAAATAAATAAATAAATAAATAAATAAATAAATAAAATAAAAATGCCAGTACTTTCATCTCAGGAATAATTTTGTTAATATGGATACGAGATGTTCGATTATTCTAGCCAATATATAAAATTACTTTCAACTCTAAGTGTGTCTGGTTATTTTATAGGGAGGCAGCCAAATTCAAACAGAAAGAGTTAAAGATAGAATACTTGCTAAATTTGAGTTCCGTTTCAGTTACTTCTTACCACTATGACCTATGTACGTCATGTAAACCCACTCAATATTAGTTTCTCTTCTTTAAAATAGGAACGTTCATAAAAATGTCTCTTACTGGTCTGCTGTAAACTTTAATAGTGTGAGTGTGCAATTTCTAGAAAAACTGTGCACACACAAGCAACTGAGCAGACTAAAATCTGAGCATATTGAAAACTAGCAAGCTTTGGTTATTAATAATCTCCCTGCAATGATAATTAGTAAAAGAAATGAAGAGAAAGAGAAAACATGCTTCTCAAGTCCCAGGGAAAGTATTAAAAAAAGGGAAGATAAGAACTAGTAGTGAAAAGAAATATTAGAATTAGTAGAGGTTATAAAAGATTTCGAAAAAAATGAAACTGAATTTAAAAAAGGAAAAACAATTACTATGACACATAGAAAAAAAGAAAAGAGGAAATGAAAGGTTAGACAGTGAATAGGAAAGCCAAAGAAATAGAAGAGTTGCAGAATATACCTATTAAATAGAATCTTAACACCAATTAAAAGGTCTCCTAGAAATGACATGCCCTTGTGGGAAATTTGTATAACCAAATACACTTGAAATTCAGAACAATGCTTCTTCCAGCAGCTGCAGCTATATAGCAAAAACACTTCAATGTCCCTATGCATACCTGCTATTTTTCCCCCACCCAGTGGCAGGTAAATAATGCCCTGCAGAATGGACTTATGAAGTGGTACAAGTCAGTCTTGGGCATTCCTCTTCCTTCTTTCCCACTCCTCAGGAGGTACCCCCCACCCCAACTAGTTCAGCATTCCATCACAGTGTATTGATTAGCTTATACAATACTTTTACAGAAACCCATATCTATACTCAGGTTAACATTATTACTCCAACCAGGTTTAAGGATACTTACTTTTTATCTAGAATTGTGAGATAAAGGATAACTTCCTAGTTAAAAGAATTTTAGGCATCATGAAACAAGCAGGAGATTTGGGGGGCTAAGGAACTGGTGGCAACCCAGAACTTCTATTTCACAAGCCCTTTGGAGTGATTAATGGAAGTGAAAACAGAGTCTGGGAGTCTCTTCTCTGGCCCTCTAGGGAAAATCCTGGGTTCCTTCTTTGGAACCAGCCAGCAGGTATGGTCCTCGGAGTTTCTCCCTTCCTCTCTCTCCCACCTCAGCAGAATGCCTCACTGGAAGGAATCTGTTATTAAGTTTGTATTTAGTAAGTTTTCAAGCCATCAACCCTTCATCTGAAATCCCAGAAAGCATCATATGTCTACTCACTCATTTCTAGCTCCAGATATGAAAGTTCTGAAGAAGCAATTGCTCCCTAGATCGTAAGTAAATATCTAGACAGACTGGTCTGACCAAGCACTGCAATTAATTCTTGGCCCTCAGAACAGCAGTGGCTAACTGGTTGCCCTGCTTTATAACCCACCTAGGAAGAAAATCACCTGGGATATGAGGACCATATTTCCTGAGAGGGAAAAAAAAAAAAAAAAGATACATGGGCCTGACACATAGTACAAGACAGAATATTTTATATCACTGCGTGTTACAAATAATCTGTGACATATGATAGTAGTACATAAGGAGTGTGGCACAGTGGCCTTCCTCATGCTTACTCTCTGGTCCTGGAGACCTAACACCATAAGGATACTTATGCAAGGAAGGGATTGATCGTTTTTGCTTTTTCTAAGAATAGTGTTGAGTGTCTTAGGAAAACATTTTTCTGTTTTTTTACAGAGATTATGGTAAACCTTGACATGAAAGGAATGCTTCCTATCATAGGGTAAATATTACTTCAGGAATTGTACCAAAATGTCACAACTAAACTGAACATTTTCCTCAAGAACCCTATAGTGAAGGATCTTGATGACTTTTGATGACTAATATAAAAGCTTAAGTCTTAAAATGTCTAAAATTAAGTAGTTGTTGATAAATAAACATTCCTATGTTTGTGTGTTCATGTAAAGTTGATATTTCTTTCAATCCTTTTGAAACAATATGCTGTACCTCTTTTTTTGATCTGGTCTTGAAGAAGTCTCTTTCAAACACTCCTTTCTGGCTAAAGATGGTAGGATGCAGTAATGAATAGGCATTGCCCTCTTCACCGTAATTAGTTCTATCACTGATGCGGCGAATTCTGGGGGCAGGAATATCAGACCGAATGGTTGGAACACCATAGATGGGATAACCTAGGACATCAATGAAGCGGGAAGACATTCTGTAACTTAGCTGTACAATATACAGTAGCCACCAGCCACATGTGGCTCTTGACCACTTGAAATGTGGCAAGTCTAAACTGAGATGTGCTATGTGAAATATACACTGAATTTCAAAAATTTTGTACCCCAAAAATGTGAAATAGTTAATCATTTTATAGTGATTACTTATTGAAATGATAGTATTTTTGGAGATATATATTATATATAAAACATATATGTACTATTAAAATTAATTTCACCTGTTTCTTTTTCTTAATGTGGCTACTAAAAATTTTTAAATACATATGACTCCAGTTATATTTCTATCAGACAGCACTATCCTAAGAGGTAGCAAGATCTCATTAAACTAGAATGTATAGCATGTCTATAAAATCCAGTTATGAAAAATATGTAAATCCTAAATCATGTCCTTAGGCCAAGGAAGTGATCTTGACCAACATAAAATAGTCTTTCAAAAGAACCAACGTTTATCATGCTTTATATCAAGATATGGGGTGTTATGGGTTGAACTGTATCTTCCCCAGATGCATATGTTAAAGTCCTAACCATTAGTACCTAGAATGTGACCTTATTGGGAAATAGGGTCATCGTAGATGTAATTAACCAAGATGAGATCATACTGGAGTAGGACCCTAATCCAGTATGACTGGCATCCTTATTTATAACAAGGAAATATTTGGCCGCAGACACACAAAAGAACGTGTGAGGTTGAAGGCAGAGATCAGGGTGATGCTGCAGAAGCCAAATAGCACCAAAGATTACCAGCAAACCACCAGAAGCTTGGAGAGGAGCCTGGAAGAGAGTCTCCTTCACAGCCCCCAGAAGGAACCAACCCTGCCAATATCTCCATCTCAGACTTCTAACCTCCAGAACTGTGAGATGATAGATTTCTAGTTAAGCCATGTGGTACTTGTTATGACAGCCCTTGCAAACTCCTAGATGGAGAATGAAGATATTGAGAATTGTTTTGTAAGAGTTCTTCGAATATTTAAAGGCAACTCTGTTTGTAGCTAAGAATCATGTGGTTTAAAAGTCTTCTAAAGCTCGGTCAAGTCTGAATTACTACAGTGCATACCATTCCGTGTTCTCATCTATGGTTTCAATTTAATTAATATAGAGAGACTCATTTTACGTGGGTCTTCATTAACAGTCACTCGGTTCAGCCTACACTTATTGAGACCTCTCTGAATGCTTAGATACAGAACTGAATGAAAGGTCTTAGGGTTTGAGAAACTTACAGTCTAATGAAGATAAAGGCTGGGGATAATGCCAGGACAAAGAAAGGATACTTTGCTTCTATGTTTGCAGATCTTTTAAAACTCAACAAATAATGTGACATACTCACAAGGAGAAGGAACAGCCCCTACAACTGCACTGATCTCAGAAGAAGTTGTCTTATAGTGACTAGAAACTTTATCTCTTGGTCTCAAAAGTGTCCGGGGAGTTCTTTCTGAGCTTCCTGGTTCTTTTAAGACAATATCTTCAGGCTTTATCAGGAGAGTTGGTTCAGATGCTTCAACATTAGACTCAGCAGGGTTTGCACAATCTGGTTTTCTACCTTTAAGCAAAGAAGAAAGAGCGGGGGAGGGGGGTTGATAAAGGAAATAGTTACTACATGGTACTTGCAGATCTGCAACAAAATCAGTTTTCTCATTTAGTCTCTTCTTGCTGGTGGAAACTGAGACTGGGCTGGTGTAAACCCTCCACGGATGCCACCATCCCACTGTGAAAGAGCAAGTCCAGGCCAGTGTCATATACCGGGAAATTGGAACCTCCTCTAATGTTTCTTTTTGCCACTCCACTCTCTCTAGATTAAAGCTTTTTAAATCTGAAAGAGCAAACGAAAATGTAGATCTATTTTTTTCTTTCTTCTTTTTTTATAGAGTTTATTTTCATATTTAATTTGAACTACAGGATTACCAGTTGTTCCTAGGACTGTGCCCTAGGGAGATATAGAAAAAGATAAATTTGGAGTCGTAAATTCCACACATATCTGATCATGGTGGGGAGCCCCATGCATTGTAACATTTGGAGAGATGAGAACGTACCATGAGCTCAAGAAAATATCTAAACAACTCCCTTCGAACCAGTGTATAAAAGAAAGCCCTGAGGTAGAACTGAAATTGCAAGACTCTGACCTCTTTTGCAGGTTTGCTTTGCTGAGTCAATTCTGAAATTAAGGAGTAAATTCCTGACACGTTTTTCACAGAACTGGTAACTCCACAGAGAGCACTAGAGGGCGCTGTGCTCTTTCAATCTCCGGAAGAACTCTTAGTTCTGGGAAAACCCAAGCAAGGGTTAGAGGCAAATGGTGCCCCAGTATTACAGTGGAGTAGGAACTATAGCAAACCAGAAAAGGCACGCTTCTCTAAAGTCTGCACCCCCGCATTCAGCACCTGCCAGCTGCTGCCATGAAAGCATTCAGGTCCAGTGTTCCAGATCCTCTAATCCCCTATTTGCACCACCCCCACCCCATAAAAGCAGAAATCTGTTCAAAGCATGAAAAATAGTTCCTCAGAAAACTGTTCAAAAGCCACTGTCTTTGAGTAAGTACAGCCTCCCTCCAGAAGTCAATAGTAAGACAGAATTTTATATAAGAAAATTCCTGAGCCCCTTTTGACCCACTGGCCATTATCTTAGAAGATAACCCTCAAGAGAACTCCACTAAAAATGGCTTGATGAAGTTGGGACCCCAAAACCAGGAACAGTTTGAAGAACTGTCTGGTTTGAAAACAGGCTTCTGCTTTTCCCCCATTACTTCATGAGCTGTATGCCAAGGGCGGGGGTGGGGGAACCACTCTATTTATGAGAAGATTGGGGTAGAGTTGTTTCTATAAAAAGTTTCTTTAAAGAAAATGCTACTGCCTTCCTAGTGGATAGATGAGAAAGGTTGTCCCAGAAACTCGTAGGGACTCACATCATCAATAAAGCCCAAAATTTGGTTTTGGCCTTGCAGAACGGCATGACCAAGGAATAAAAGTAAAAACAGTAATATCTTCACTTTTTAGAAGAGAGATATTCCAAGAGGAAATAAAAAAATGTAAACAACCTTTTTAAATAGTCGATCCTCTCTAATAATCAAGATTTGAAAATTAAAGCAAATGATGCATCATTATATACCAACTAAATTACAAAATGTTTGAAATAACACTCAATGGTAATACAGTTGGAGCAAAACCTTCTTAGCCGATAAAGTTGCAAATTGGTAAAATCAGTAAAGCAAGATGAAAATATATAAAGAGAGTTACTTCTGGGATGATAATAATAACATTCATAAGAAATGAGATATAATTAGAAACAGAAAGCTTTTTGAGAGATAATCATTACGGCATTGCCCATATTACTTTAAAAATGTCTGGAAATAACCTAAATTTCAAAGAGTGAGGAAATGGTTTAGTAATTCATAACACATCAGCATGAGGGAACTGAAAATGAAGTTTACAGAAACCATAAAAGTATCTCTTCACTCCATAGAAATTTCAAAGTTAAATTTGGAAACCAAATAAAAATGGTACATTCACTGTGATTTTAGCTATGTTTAAAATATATGCCTATGCACACACAAATATGTATATTTATATATGATTATTGATGCAGGAATCTAATACGTAAACATGAAAATATTCAAATAAAGGTAAGAATTATGTTTCTTTTTTTTTTTTTACAAAATTTAAAACAAATTTTTCTATGTCAAATTCTATTTTACCATTGACTTTTCCTAGGAGTGGGGAGCTAATTACTCCAAGACAATGGTTTCCAAAAAGCTTTTTCGGGAACCATCTTTCATATTTTGGGCTTCTGTATAAACTATTTTGCTTTTAATTTTTTTCTCCAGAGTAACAACACATGGTTCCAAAATCAAAAGATACAAAAATACAGGTCTAAAAGTGAGTCTCATTGCTATCCTATCCCTCAGCTACCCAGTTCCCTCTCTCTGGAAATACCAAATGTTATTTCTTATTATAGGAAAGAATTTGATAACATTTGTTATTGCATAAACAAGCAAATAAATAAATACACACATATGTGCTTATTTTTAAATATATAATATTAAAGTTGAGATGTGCTCCTAGAAAAAAATGAAAATATAAAAATCCATTTAAGAATTTAACACAACTTCAAAAATAAATACCTTTAATGATGACCCTCTCTTCATACTCTTTAAGAGGCATTTTATCTTTCCAGTTAAGAAAATTTGCAAATTCTAGATAGTTAATCAGCCCATCATTATCCACATCACAGTAGTCAAAGAGCTGGTCCAGGAGCTTCTCATCTAAGTGCAAGTTGGCCTGATCACAAGCTTCCCAAAGCTCAGCTTTATCTATCACCCCATCTCCCTTCTGTTAGACAAGAAAAAAAAAAAATGAAGTGAGCATTGTCTTCAAGAGCAGAGTATGCAACATCTATTATTTCATTTAAGAAAAAATGTCCTATCACATAAATTCAACAAATTTGTCTTATTTTTCATGTAAGAGGAGTCAAATATTAAGCACAATTGGTCCTCATTGTGTCCACCTGATATGTTCACAGAAATCTCAGCCCTGGCTGGAGAAGGGTGTGGCTCAGAATCTTTATTCATTCTATTTTAATAATTTTTCCTTTAAATTATGCTATGTACACTGTATTTGAGCAGATGTAACCATGATTTATGCTTGACCTTTCATCTGACCAATGTTGTGTACTTTTGACAACTCTCTGCAATGTTCCACGCTGTCAGAGTGTCCTGGTGTCCCAACTGGGCAGTAGTAAGTGATCCCCCACTTCATTACCTGGTAATGAGGAGAAATTAGGGAAGTAGCTGCTGGCCAAGTACAGGGAGACAGATTCAAAGACAGTTGCCTGCTTGTTATTAACACTCCTATGGGCAAGAGAGACATGCTACCAATTTGTCACTCAGCCCCCATTGCAACAATTAGCACTAAGGTCCACCCTGGTAGGGGGCAAAGGGGAAGTTTCAGCTCCCCTTCAGACAATAGTTAAAGACGGGAGCACCTCCCCCGAGTGTGACAGGTGGGAAATTTATAAAGGCTCTGGGCAGAAACTGGCTGATTGACTCGGCAGAGATGAGGGGACAGAGCACACAATGCTTGAGGGAAAATGCAAAGAGCTAGGACATCTTAACATTCAGCCCCTCCTGCAGTCTATCAAGCTAACCTTAAATCCACTCAGAGATGATAGTAAAATTTCGCAGTGAATCCTGGCTGGTATAAGAAATTTGTACAAACTCCCAAAGTAAATCATAAATGACTCCTTGACTAATATTCAACTTTTATGCCCAGGATTGGATTTACACTGCTGATGAAGATGATCCCTGGAGAATGAGAAACTGACCCATCAAATTCTAAATTCCTGCAGTCAGATCCGTAGGCCTAGAAAATGTTCCTAACCCTTATGTTGAAACAAACGAGAATTTAAAACATATTATCTTGACTTGGGAGCTACAAATGCCCTGGTTTAAAGTAGACTCCTTTATAAAAGCCTCTGCTGTAAGCCCAAGTCAACCAAAAATGCAAACCCCACAGCCCTATCTAAAAAGCAATGTGGGCTGTGGCTGTTGAATCAAGAGGTCTTCAAAACTGAAATAGCATCAATAACAGTGACTTTGCTGCCCAATATAGGGGCTTGTGTGGACTAAAAACATCAGTGGTTTTTTTCATTTGTGTGGACTGAAAACTTTGGGGGTTCCTTTGAACTGCATGCCACCACCATACCACTCAAAACTCAAAGTAAACGTTTCTAACTCACCAGGTGCAGAGCCACTCTCTCCCTCTGCACCCTTGATCTCTCCCCCACCCCCATACCCCAACTTCAGCAGCTCTGAGAAGAAAGTTGACTAAATGTGGGACCAAGTTTTCCCTGTCCCTAAGGGGGATCGGGGGCCACATGCATCTGTCCAAGGCTGCTATGGAACTCAGAAGGGCAGAGATGCAAACTTTTACGGATATGGGTGCCAAAGTCATCATCTTACTCAGTTTGCAGGAGGAGGAGAGGTCTGGGTGTAGCTAGTGGGGTTGGGCAGGGTTTGTTTGAAGTAGAGAAGGAAAGCTAGCAATATAGTACTTCTGTGACTTCCACCGCTAACTGGGTCATTGGTATTCATACTTTTACATGCCTGTGCTGTGAATGTTCTTAAGTGCCAGGGGCACTTATGATCAAGAAGAGCCATACATAGAGAATTGCTAGTAGAGAATTGCTAGTAGCTTTGGGGCCCCACAACCCCAATAACCCCTTTGAGCCACAAGTCTCTATGACTAATGATTTTGCCACTTAGAACCTCTGGAAAAGAGAGGCAACCTCCATTTGGAGATGCCCCTTGAGGTTTAAGACTCATTGCCCCCCTAACCTGGTTACCAGGTAGATACCTTTTGAAAAGCAGCTATTAGCCAGTTACTGAGCTCTTGTTGAAACTGAACACTTGACCTATGGACTTTCCAATCTAATAAGCATTTTGAGGTGAGCCAACTTGGACTCAATGATTAACAAGGTAGAAAGGGCCTAATGAGTCTCATTTGTGAAATGGCAATGGTGTAATCAAGATGGCCCTAGTAACATCTCAGCTTTCCATGAAAAGGGGCAGCAATCCTTTTGGAAAAATTTTATTCACCTTTGCCACCTGAAGCAAAGCCACTGCCTCAATAAGACCTTCAATTCACAGACGCTCCCTTAAGTGCCTGGGCCTTGCTCACTAACCTGAAAACAAGCGGTCTTCTCTGGGCTGCTGTGGCTTCAAACCCCAATGGAAGCTATGAAGGACCAAATATAGACAGTCACTCAACTCGGTGAGCTGAACTCAAGGCTATTCTCATGGCTCTGGCCAATACTCCCTTTAATGGATCTGTTATAGTTTTACTGACTCTTGGACTATTGCCAGGGGTCTGCCTATTTGGTTTGCTACTTGGAAAACTACGGACTGGAAGATTAAAGACACTTCTTTTTGAGTCTGAAAACTATGGAAGCAAATCGTGGCTACTGGTTGAGACATCTGGGTAATTCATACAGATGACCATGAGAAGGGTCCATTCTCTGATGGGAATGACTGGAATCAAGCTTCTGGCTGAGAATGAACCATTCAGATTGTCACCGTTGCTACCTGGATCCACCAATGTACCAGACACGGCAACACACCAACCATTACAGACAGGGCACAAAGTAAAGCACTCTACGTTTCTGAGGCAGAGGTTACCACTGTGCGTCAAATGTGACTCCTGACAAAAGTTGACCCATTTGTCTCGTGGGAGAGTGGGGGGACACATCACATACAAGACATTGCCCCCATGCTCCCGACAGACCAACTACATGAAACCTATGTCCCCTTTTCGGAGCCATTGTGGTATCAACACTGTTGACACATTGTCAAGTTATGGAATTGCTACTGCAGTGCAACCAGCTCCGGTTACAACAGTATGGCCCATGAAATTAATCTGAATCATGCGTTTTACTTTCTAGACTATATTCAGTCTGATGGTGATATGCCATATAGCATAAAACCTACTCAACGATGAGCTGTTAGGCAAGATATTTAATGAATCTTTCCTGCTCCCAATCACTGCAGCCTTCTCAAAAACTGTCTATCTTCCTTACCAGCTCCTGCTCATACATTTTAGAGTAAAAGCACTTTTGTTACTGAATGCAGTTGTCCCCTAAAATGAATCACCCCATCTCGGCTGCTTCCTGGATAATAAAACAAAAGGAGTAGAAATTATATAGACTAATTTTGAAAATTGAGGACTCTGCTGTGACCATTCTGGCACACGATACATTCTTTCCCCTCTAGATTTTAAGTTCCTGAAATGGAAAGTCTACACATTATCTGGAATGATGTTCGATGTATTGTGTCAATAAATAACAGAACTAATCTTCAAGCCAAGAAGATTCATTTAGAAAATCACGGTTTATTTGTTCTGTTTTATTTTTCCATTAAGTTCAATGGGCGTTCAACAATATAAGATTCAAATAATCAAAAATTATCCTACAGCTATATTAGGAAGACTCACATCTTATTACCCTCTCATAAAAATCAGCTCCTCGAGAACACTGAGCACTGCATTGTGCATATTAAAAGTTTACTATTTAAAAGGTATATCAGCATTAAATAATTTTCAGTAATTTCCTCCTTGCTTAATTTAATTTTATCATAAGGAATGTGCCTGGTGATTCACTAAGATAATCAACAGCTATTAAGATGATCGTCTTGCCTTAATTACATTTAAAATGAAGAATTTTTAAAAGCTGAACATTACGTAATGTGGTAGGTTTTTTTATTCATACCACTGCTATATAAATTTCCCTGGGTATCATCTTTGTAAGATCTTGGATTTGAGTAAAGTTTAAAAGGTACTTATTTTAGCTTACATATTTTAATTCTGAAGAATCACTTTTTAAATTACCCATAAATAGCAATTGGTCTCTATTAAAAACCAGAGGAACAGTTAAATACTTACATTTTCTTTAAACACAGTTTTGTGAGATATGTAATTGATAATCTACTAGTGTTATTCCGTACATAATTAATACAGACTTAAATAAGAATATTAACCCACTTTTTATTCCTTAGTACAACATGGGTACATTAGCCCATAATCTAAAAACAAACAAACAAATAAATAAATAATAAAAACAAATAAAATAAATTAGCCAATGAGTGACCTAGATTTTTTAAAGATAAGATAGATCAAGCATAACTTTTTCAAAGTTGTATTCAACATTGGAGAAAAGAATATTATATTTTCCTTCTGAGATAAACTAAAATTATTCTGTTCTTTTCTTTTCATATCAAAATTATGATGTATCACATCACTGATTTATTTATAAGCTTTATTTATTTATATTAGTCTCATTCTAAAAGGGTTCTGAGGCTGCCTAGAAAAATAAGTACAATTAAACAGAACCCAAAAAAGTGAGGAAATCAGGGCAAAGAGAATATAAGGATGGAAAAAATGAAAATAAAACCTAAATTAAAAGATCACACAAAATGTATGCTATATGATCATGTTCACAAACTATATGTGTTTCAATGAATTGACTCTGAGCTTCCTGGTGACCAAGTCAAAAAGGTATTACAATCAGTATAAAATTCATGCTGTTTCTGAGGTGAAAACAAACCAGATACTTAGAGGAAGCACAGTTATTTCCTGTAGAAAGACTGGGTTTCTTAATAAAAAGAATGCATGTGATAAAAATAAATAACGGACTCATCGACATGCTAACAAAAAAAGTGCCATGTTTCACAAGCAGTTTGTATAATAGTGCTCTTTAGTATAATTTCCTAAAAGTGATACAGCTTGGTAAAATCAATCCTGTGATGGCCTAAAATGGTGTGAGGTAATTATGCAGCTCTAGATTAATCTGACTTTATCAAAGGATAAAATTTAGAGTAGCTCAAAAATGATTGATCTCCTCAAAACGGAAACCGTACCCTGCTCCCCCAGGGAGAAACATTCTAAGCTTGACTTGGACTTAGACTGACAGTACTATGTGCACATATCCAGATTTAGGTATATATTGTCTCTATTTCAGGAGTCTTCCCTAGGGACCCATGATGCTCCCCTCCATTTGCTCCCGGCACACTGTATTTTAATAATCTATAACAGTGGCTCTCAAATTTGAATGTGCATTCAAATCACTTGAAGGGTTTGTTAAAACACAACTGCTAGGCCCCAACCCTGAGTTCCTAATTCAGTACGTCTGGGGTGGGCGTTACACATTCCCAAGTGATGCCAATGGTGGTACAAGAACCACACTTTGACAACCACTGATTAAAGTGACAGCAAACTTTTTCTGTCAACAGCCAAAAGGTATATATTTTAGGTTTTGCAGGCCATTCAGTCTCTGATGCACCACTCTGCATTTGTAGTACAAAAGCAGCCACAGACAATACTTAAAACAAATGGGCATGTAAAACTATTTACAAAAAATAGGTGATAGACTGGATTTGACCCACAGGCCATAGTTCGCTGACCCCTGATCTACACCAACCTGCCCGTATCTGTAAGCCCATGCATAGACCTAAAAGCTCTGCTCCACTACTGGCCTTGTCATAGTGCCTGAAGGCTGCCAGCAAAGTGTCGAAGTTTTGGTAGTTAACTCTCTTCAAGTGATGCCGAACTGCCGCAATCAGGGCTCGCTGTCTATCTTTGCCTCGAAGATATTCACCCGGAAGTCTATTATAGATGAGATCATCAGCTCCTAGTGAAGAGGGGGAGAAAAGTCTTTTATCTGAATTTAAAGTTTGTCAATAGTATTCTCAACCTAAAAATACAGAGAAAGAGAGAGATCTAGCAATTTCTGTGAATGAAAACTCTCACACCTAACTCCAATACTATTAGACAGCGTGACAGGAAATCTTGTGTATAAAAAAAGCATACAAAGTAATTGATAAAAATTAATGTTTCTGTTTTATGTGATGCCTCTGATCAATGAAAAAAAAATCGAAAAAATAAATTTGTGGGAGAATCATCAGCTCCACTGTGCTGTCAAGTCCTTTTTTAGGATAGTGAGGGCCTGTCTGCCTCTTAGCAGACATTCGCGTACATTTCCGAGGATCAGAAAGCTGGGGTTAATTGCACTCCATGTGCCTCAGAATTGACAGAACCTCTGGGAACCCTTGTCAAAACTACACTCAAATTCCCCGTTCTCACCTAATATGAGTTCCCAGCCTACCTTCAGTCTGCAGATCAAGTCCCCATCTCTCAATCCTGCTTCCCCCTCTACCACTACCAGCACCACTACCCCATCCACAGCTCCGTTAACTAAGAGTCCTGACCCACAACCCCCTCAGTTATCTGGAAGTAATGACCGCTCCAATCCGCCTGCTGCATCCCCCAGCCCTGGCCAGTGCTTCCATTTACCATTCAGGACTTAAAGGATCTTCCCTGAATTACAACACAAAGAAAGCACAAACACACACTCTGCCTATAAACCCACTCTTTGTCATTCTCTTTTGGAAAACATTCTTTGGATGTTGACGTTGACAGAAATCAGACGAGAATTGACTATGCTGCCTCAGATATGGTGGCTTGGTGCATGTCACCAGAAGAGACCTTCTGCTTCTGTTCATTTTTCTCTGTCCTACATCCCTCCCTTCCTGCTTTCTTGGGTCATGCTGGCAGCTGGCTGTGATACCCTGGATGGATTAATTTAAATCTCAACATTGGCTGCAGTTTAAAGCAACTACTATGTACACTTACTCTGTACAAGGCCCTACATTAGGCTGTATCAAGGGTCTCTTTTAATAAGTACTCATAGCACCTCTAACTTTCTTATTATAAAAATCAGAAGCTAATTATGCACACTCTGATAAAGCCTGGTTTCTAAGGGTAGACCCTGAGTATGGATGAGAAGCCCATAACTAATGATGGTTCCAGGAACTGGGCAAGTACCTCAGACCAAGGCCATCTGAAGTGCAGTCAGCTACCATCAGACCATCTCAAAGTGGGCAAAACACAAGTAAGGCCCTGGGAGAGGAAATCAAGACAGTTAGGGGTGATTTTGACAAATTAGTATGGCCTCCTTTCCTCCTCCATAATCATTCCCCAGATATAACCCCTTTGGGTAAATACTCTGTACAAAGGTCCTCGCTCTTCCATATAACGGCTCTTGACTGCAAATTTTTTATTGTCAGAGGCCTTCCTTCTCCATTAATACCTAAAGATAACCCCTGACAGTTGTTTTTCCAACTACATGTCGTTTTCCCACCACAAACCCAGCAGGTTTAACTGCCAGGTGACAAAGACATATGTCGACACATTCTTCTGGCCTGGCCCTGAAAGAATAGGAATCCGTTAAACAGGTAACGGTTCCTCTAAAAACAGACCCAAATACAGTCTCCTAATGTGGCAGTTAAAGAGGCTCAAAAACTCTGCTGCATAAGCTTACCTAAAAATAAATATTTTCGTCAGTGAGTGGACTTTAGCTAAAACATTTTCAGTAGTGGTTCTTAAACTTTACTGTATATAAAGTCAAAGTATCTGGGCATGGGTCCCAGGAATCTGCATATTTAATAAACTCCCTGGGGGGCTTTATTTTGAAATTCACTGATATACAGCCCACTCCTGATAAGTTTTAATGTAGTTTTCCCTTTAGATGTCTACTGTATAGATTGTTTAGAAATAAAGACAAAACACCAGTAAGTTTCTGCCACTTTATAGATTGATTAATTGATTGGCTGGTGGGAAGAGAGCAGCTCTTAATTATGTAATGGCAGAGGACAGGGCTTTCTCAAATTTCTCAATTGTGACTACAATTCATCTGGAAATATTAAAATGTAGTTTCTGACTCAGTAGGTTTGGAGTGGAGCCTGAGAGTCTGCATTTCTAAGACGCTTGCAGAGGATGCCAACACTGACAGTCTGCAGATCACGTTTTGAGTAGCAAAGGTCTAGTATAATATTTATTTAATTAAAAGCCTGTCTCACTTCACTTTGGCCACATTTATTTTCTAAATAAAATTCTAAGCCTTCACTTCACTGAAGGTATTCATTACAAGAGCTTTTAATTGTATTTAGTTCATATATAACATGAAAACTTTTTTCTTTCTTGTGCTACAAATTTTTTTCATTAATGGTCATATGGTATTTTAAGCCTTTAAAATTAAAAGCTTTGAGAGAAGGAGTTGGTGAACTTAACTGCATAACTTTGTGGGGGGTTGTTGTTGTTTTTTAAGGAGAATGTCTGTATATTTACCATAGTCCTCAGGGAGGAGACAAGTTCCAAATGTGTGGTCTGGGGGAACATTCATTGTTTCTGCAATGCTATCAAAGAAAACAAATCCTTTAGTTAAACTACCCACCACATGGCATCCCTGGAATTTAAAATATGCTTGCCATATGTTGTTAATAGCCTATATATTTTCCTATAACTAAACTATGAAGATCAAGCAGAAATTCTCCAATAGATCTTTTGTCTCATCTTCCACTTGCATTAACAATGACTGAATGCTTTCACTGGCTTTCAGTAGCCTGGATTTAAAGCAGAATTCAAAGCAGAATTGCAGAGGTATGTAGAGATAGACAGAGACCAGGAAGGGAGAGAAAAATGTAACAGAATAAGTTAAATTTCTGATATCCCAGAAATAAAGCTTTACATAATATTCTTCCTCCCTCTTCTCGAAATGCCCTCTCAATCTTATAGGCCTCAGAACTTTCCTAGAACCCTAATAGAGTTCCCTGATAAACTTAAAAGAATGACTTTCTTATTTAGTAAATAGAATCTAATAGAACACAAACCAATATTTACCACAAGAGTACTTTTTAAATTCAATTCAAAGACACTGTCAATTCAAAGTTAATCATTAACTTACGGATCTAAAACTCTTCCAAGTGTATGTTGAAACTTTTCTTTGAAATCATCAACTCTCTTGGATACAACCTTAGCTCCTCTTTTCCTATAAAATTAGAAAATTGTCAGGTATCTCTATTACCTAAAATATTCTTGGCTGCCAAATATACATATGGTAAGGACTATCATAGTATCATTTGGGCCGTCAAAAAATAAATTCAGTGTCAAAGAAAATTACATGCTCAAAAGAAAGCTTTATGTGCTCATTCTGCTATCATTTATATTCTATTGTAAAGATAATTTTTAATAGAATACAAAATTTTGATTAAGAATAAGACATGCAGACTCAAAAATATTTTTCAGTAAACAAAATCAAATTGCTAATATCATTATTATAAATGTAACTTTTTAAAATGCTAAAAGAAAATTAAATATCAAATAAATAAAGAATATAAACAGATTACTCATATCTAGTAAGCACATACATGGAGAAATTATAATGTTCTCCAGTAAAAAAACAAATGTGAAATAAAAAAACAACAAAGTGCCACTTCAACATAGTACATAAGGAAATACATATTTATAGGGACAGAAAGAGAGAATGAGAGAAAATACCTAACAATTGGCAAAAAGTATGGTAAAACACTTGTAGATTGCTAGTGCAAATTGCCATTATCCTTTTAGAAATATAATTTTGTGTTACAATTCAAAAAGCATAAAAATGCTTATTCCCTTTTATCCACACCTGGGAACCAAACATAAGATAATCTAGATAACAATTAAAAATGTGGAAAACTCATATTTATAAAAATGTTTGTAGCCTTATTGACTACAATGGGAAAAAAAAAGAATCTAAATGTTCAATCATGAAGGATGATTATATTATGTGACATTAACAAGAATACACGGCATGCATTTTAAATGCTGGTTATGAAGCATACACAGCAATATAAAATTATTTTATGTTAAGTGAAAAAGAATATAAAATAGGATTGCACTCTGATTAAAGTTATGCAAAAATCTACACTGGAACCCAAACTAGAAAGAAATACATTAAAAAGATAATAATGGTTGAATTAAAGTGACAGGATTATGGGTGATTTTATTTTGCCAACTTCCAGTAATATAATTTTGTTACTTTTATCATTGTAATTAAATGAATAAGATTTCTTTTGAGAACTGTAAAATTACAACACTGCTATTTAATAACATTAAAATTAATAAATTCTCTATTGTTTCGCTAAGACTGAAAACAATGAACATAAAATTCTTAAACTCCATTTGCTTTTAAAACTATTTCCTGTACTATAGAAATATGAAGCTGAATAAATTTCTGGAGAAGAGTGACACTCTGTGGAGAAACAAAAGATGAAACATAAAGTAATTCATCTTTTATTTTTCCTTTACTTCCCATTAGTTCAAAAAGGAGGGAAAAAGAGAATATAGATAAAGTCAGAATATATCAGTGACAGTGTACAGGCCATAATTTGAACAAATAAAGTTGACAATCTAAAAAACAGCTCCGAAGGACATAATTAGTAACATTGAAGAATGATAAGGTTAAGGATTATAAATCAAGGAGCCTACTCTTTTCAGTCTAATAGTGCCTCGATTATGTTTTTGGTAGAATCAGGAAGTATGTGAGTAGCCATGTATGTTGGACTATCAACAACTGTAACATTATTAGACAACCTCACAGCATTTCCTAACTAACTCAGAATAAAGTCTTGTGCGCCAGTGAATTGTTTTCATTCTGATATAACCAAGCATGCGTGCACGCGCGCACACACGCGCATACATATGAATACCGTTTGAAGATTCTGATTTTTCAAACCAAAAGTCACTAACAGAATATAAGTATAGATAGTTTTACAGAAGAAATACATTCCTTAAAAGTTAAGAGTAAACCAAATATATGTTAAAATAGTACATATAAAATTGTACTTAAAATGTAAACAAACATGCTTAACTCCAAGTTTTATAATAAAAATCACACTAAAAAATGAAGTAGCGAGTTCTTTTTAAAATCCAACAGACCAAAGGAATAAACACTCTCTCCATTATTTTAGCAATCATTTTCCAAGTAAATTTCAAAATACAAAAAGTATAATCAAATAATTGATCAAACATCATTGTTCTGTAAATGTTGTTTCCTTGGGGATAGAGACAAGTTGGAGAGTAATGTATCCTGCATATTGCCTGCTTTTATAAATTCAGTGTATTTTTTTAGATATAATTAACATACAACAACATACTAGTTTTAGGTTTACTTAGTGTATTTATCCATGACTACTCCAAATCATTGATAAGTATGTCCTTGTTAAGGATGCAAAGGCTCTGCTCCTAGGACATTCTTAAGGACCACATTGAAGCAGAAATAAGCCAGACAGAAAAAGCTGAAAATCACATGATATTACTTATATGTGGGATATAAACCTAAAAGCAACAAATGGACAGGACAAACAGAGACTCAAGAACATGGACTAGTGGTTACCAGAGGGTAGTGGGGAGGGGAGAGGAGGGAGGTAGATGTGGGTAAAGAAGGTCAAATATGTGGTGACAGAAAGAAATCTCTATGGGAGATGAACACACAGTGTAAATATATATACGATTTATTGTTAAAGTGTACAGCTGAAACATTGGATTCCATTAACCAATGCCAACAATAAATTAATTAATTAATAATAAATAAAAGGCCACATTGTTGTTAATGTGTTTATTTCATATCTCCCATAAATCGTTAGATTTATATTTTTTAAGTTTCATAATTGTATAAAACATTTGTCATCTCCCTTTCAGCATCAATTTCTATATTTAATTATAAATATCTATAGTCCTTAAATATTTGTCATTTCTTCATGGTTTCCTTTATGTATGATGTAACCACTTTAATAATGATAAATTAATGAATATTTGTTATATGAGTTTTCCTTCTATTCCTAAAAGAAAACTAACTCATATGAGTTTACTACAATATTGTAAGAATTTTTATTTGTATTTTACCATAATTGTTTTTTAATAATTCAAGTATCAGAAATTTGTACAATAAAGGAGTGGAAGAGGAGTGGAAATAACTGTTTCTGGCCTGTGATCACAGATGTGGTGGTAGGGCAGCCTCTGGAGCCACACTGCCTGGGTTTCATTTCTACCCCTAATATTTCTTAGCTGCATGATCTTGGGCAAATGATTTAACTAACCTGTACCTCAGTTTATTCATCTGTAAAATGGAAAGGATCAAAATGGAGTTGTTGGTAGGATTAAATTTAAAATATATAAAATACTTAGCCTTCTGCCTTTCTGACTGGGAGCTGTTGTTATCACAGAGACCAGAGAGGCAACTGAGTGAGGCAGGATGGGTGGCAACCTGTGGGAATGCAAACTTTGTGTGCAGGTGGGAGCCTGAAACTTGTAGGGCTAGTGTTTCCTTTAAAGAGGGCAGAAGACAAAACATATTTATTCCCACCACTGATGTGTAGAAACCCCAGCCCAGTATATTACTTCCCATGGTTGCTGTACCCCACTGCAGCAAATTGGCGGCTTAATACTACAGAAATGTATCCTCTCACCCTTCTGGAGGCCAGAAATCTGAAATCAAGATGTCATCAAAACCACATTCTCTCCAAAGTTCATAGGGGAGAATCTGTTTATTGCTTCTCCCAACACTGGAGGCTGCTGGCATTCTTTGGCCTTCTTTACCTTGAGGCCACAATATCCCAGTCGCCTTCCGCATCTTCACTTCATCTTCTCTGTGTGTCTTCTCTTCTGTCTCAAATCTCTCTCTGCCTTTCTCTTATAGGGATATATGTCATTGAATTCAGGGCCTGTCCAGATAATCCAGCATGATCTCTTCATCTCAAAATCCTTAATTTAATTACATTTACATACATAAGATAACATTTAGAGGTTTGGGGAATTATCTGGACATATCTTTTGGGGAGCCTGTTCAACATACTAGACCAGTATTTCCAATAGTCTGAGGTTTTAAGCATAGTAGGAAATATGGATTTTTATGAGTAATCTACCACTGTTAATGTTGGCTTAGATATAAAATATAATACTGGTAATGAAAAATTAAGAAACCTTATTTTAATTTTCTAGGGAAGTAGTCACATATAAAATGAAGATGTAAAAAGATCACAGTTTACAAGAGTTAAGTCAGGTGCTCAGGTGCCCAAACAACTATTAAACAAAGCTAAATGATAAATGACAGGTAGATTATATGTGACACAATTGTCTTTGCAGAGATTTAAAAGCCCATCATCTTTAAGAAACATAAATAGAGTTGGTCCTATAGGTTTAAAACAGGCAGATATTTCTTTATATTTACTTACAAAGGCACAAAGTAACGTTAAAAATATATATATGCACACATATACACACATACACAAAAAACAGTAGCATGATCATTTCTGGGGGAACTGAATAGTTTGGAAAACGTATTGCTGTATATCTTTTTCTATTAATTTTATGTTTGAACCATGTCAATGTATTACCTCTTCAAAAAAGAAATGAAGAAAATGAATTTTTCTTTAAGTCCATATGTCATATATCTAACATTTGACCCAGGCCACAATATAATTAAACTTACATTTGTAGTTCATGGAGCCAATATAAAGTTTTTGCCATGGTTCGTCCATCATTAAAATGTGGTGTTGGGACCCCATATAAGTTAAACCTATGGAAACTTGATGCATTATACTTTCGGTTCTTTGCTTCTCCTGTGGGGGGAAAAAAAAGAAGAAGACTTCTGACTTAAGCAACACAAATAACCTTATCTGGAAGGAAGCACATTATTTTCCCATTGACATTGAAAATGAGAGTGGAACAAAGAATGAAACTGTAACAGTGCAGGAAACTGCAGATTTGGCTACAGATAACAGAAGCATTCTCCCATGTGGGGCGGAAGACTGGTGAGACAAGAATTCCTTGTGTTAGTATTTGGAAAGTAAGTAGGGAAATGATGTAGGTATTAAAAACAGGTATTAAAGATGAAAAATGCAGGCCCAGTTAATGTTACAGAAGACCTAAAAATTAGGGAGATACTGCGATGCCTTGGGACCCCAGCAGTCCTTTCCACTGCACTAAGTTATGAGAGGTTGGTGTTTTGTACTTGCTCTTGTTGAGATTTGGTGAAATCACCAGAACTTTGTAACTCTCACATTTCATTAAAATCACTTATCTCATATTAGAAGCATTCGAAGAGTAATTGAGGGCTGGAACCTAACAGAGAGGTCTTTATATGTAAGACCTCACGTTGCATTTTTTTCTTTTCAAGTCATAATGTGGAATTCGTTTTCTCTTTCTGGATAAGAAGGTAAGACTGAAAATAGAGATCAGCTAAAAGGTGGAGAAATGATGGAAAAAAAGATATCCAGCCTCACTAGTAACCCAAATAATATAAATAAAAACAACTACATAAAATCATAATTTTTCTCTCAGTTAAGTAAAAATAAAGAAGACTGGCAAATCTTACTACCGGGGAGGGTGTGGGAAAATGAAAAATCTCATACACTGCAGAAATGAGGGCAAATTCAGGCAGCTATTCAGGTAGACAGTTTGGCTCTAAGAATGTAAATTTCAAATGCTCAGAAATCTAGAAATATATCCTAAGGAAATGGATCAGATCCACAAAGATATATAAACAATATATTTCTGTAATACTGAAAAACGCAATATTGATACTGACATGAAAAGGCAACTAAGATATTTCATACAATGGGGGGAAAGCAGATAGGAAAAAAATATATAGTGGGGAGCAAAACACACACATATACTCATATATGAATGAGCAAAGAAAAATATCTATGAAAATATCATCTATGGAATATTGGGAACTGTGGGAGATTTTCTTTGTATTTTATATATTTCTATGTAGCTTGCATTTTATAAAAGAAATATCTATTACCTTCCTAATGATTAAAATTAAGTGCATTTAAAAGAAGTTGTAGATACATATTTATTATTGAATAATGTCCTTAACATATTATTTTAAGTAAAAAATTTTAAATGTATATAGGGTCCCCAAAAACATGGAGAATATTATCACATTTAACTAAAGATAGATAGCTCAGTGGATAGGGGGTTAGGAAGGTGTTCAATATATCAACTGTAGTTATCTCTGGTAAATGGGATTTCAAGATTATATTTACTTTTTCTTCATTTTTCACGTTTAAGTTCTCCATAATTATTTTGTATTTTTATAATAAAAAATAAAGTGCTTCCATTATGAGAAAAAAATAGACAATATTTAAAAGATTGGACTCCATGACTTTTAAGAGGCTAATGAAAATTTGTAAAAATCAGTAAATGAAGGTAATTTCAGTCATATTGTAGCCCATTAAAGCTCTTTCGAACATTTGAAAAAAATCTATACTCATATTCCTCCAATCACTAAATGCATGTAAACTATCTCATTATAGGTTGCCTATATTCATTCATATAGTTCCTTTTAAAACAATTAAAAGGCATTGGATTAGATTTTGTGATAGAATCTAAACATTTTCCCCAAAAAATGCATAAAATATTTTTTACAAGAGAGGAAGCAAGGGAAAGGGGAATAAAAGAAGGGAGGACTAGAAGGAGGAAAGGAAGAAAGGGAGGGAGAGAGACAGGAAGTAGAGGGAGTGGAGATATGGAGAGAAGTCAAGGTTATGAGAAGGAACATGGTGACCAAGTGGGTGGAAGTAGTGGCAGACTGAATGGGAGGGCAGGAACAATCTCAAGACTGGAATCGTATTAGAGAGTCTAGGCAACCAGCAGAGATTGGTCATGAAAGAAGAGAATAACAGCTTCCAGACAGTGTAAAAATGGGTATAGGAGACAAGCCCCAGCTATAAGCAAAAGTCTAGGAGGAAGGGCATAGAGGAGTAGAGTGTGAGATGGAGGTTGAGGAGAAAAAGTGAAGAAATAAAGAGGGAACGAGGAAGAGAGGTGCCTTGAGATGCAGTAAGCGAGAGTCTTGCTTCTAGCTAATGAAGACTGAGTTCATGAATCATTCACAATTTACCAACTTTCTCAGGACATATATCAGAGTCTAGTTCTCAGTCCTCTATTATATCAAGATTCTACTTATCAACACACAAACAATTAAGTTGTATTTTACAGCACTATAAAAATCTAATGCCTTTTAGTTGTGCTATAGAATAATTCTAGTATAACAGGCTACTAATAGTCAAGATCACTAATAATAATAGTTTTTAAGCCTTTACTACATTCCAGGCACTATGCTAAGCATCTTGTAAGCACTCACGTAATCCTCACAATATCATTATCCCTATTTAAGAGATTAAAATAAATGATGATAGGATAAGTAAAATATCCAAGGTCTAAAAGATAGTAGATGGGCAAGCTAGGATTTGAATCTGTTATATCTGATTCAAAATTTGTTTACTTGACCATTACCCAATCAATATTCCTCATGTAAAGTTAAGCATTTAGAATAATCCTGACATTTGAATAAGAACTGTAATTTTTAAGCCTAAAGCCACTAAAATAATATAATACTATCTAACATTTAATCTTTCTTGGCTGTTTTTTCACTTTAGTGATATGTATATTTCTACATTTTATATACAAAATGTGTTCAGGTATGTGATCCTAGCTATTGGGGTTTATGACCTTACAAAAAATAAATTATTATTTATTGATCACCTATTATATACCAGACACTTAAATTTATACACATTAGCTCTTTTATTCTTCTTCACAAATCTGAGAGTCCCATATCCTCAGGTCCGTTTTATACTGGAGGATACTTACCCACATAATAATCATTGTGAGAAACAGTATACAGATCATGTCCTTCCTTTCCTTCTTTAAATACTTCCTCATAGGATTTTGGTGGATTCACCACATCTCTAGCGGATATTTCTGAAGAAAGAATTAATTAAATCAGTTTTAAGGCATTTTTCACTTATATCTATTTATAACATTTAAATTGACTAGAGCAAAAAAAAAAAGGAAGACAAATAACAAAAAAATTGACTCAAGCAAAGGACAAACAAGGTAAGTTGATTGCATAAGTGACATGGGCACCCTAGGAGAACACGAAGCCAATATAAATGAAGATTTATTAAGAAAGCAGGATGTAGCCTGGGAGTCACTATACTAGGGACCCTCATTTGACCTGGCTCACTCCCTAGAATTCTGAAGACTATCAGAACTCTGTATCAGTTAACTATTTAGGTTGTCCTGAGCCATATTCCAAGCCCGCTTAAATTCCCTATTCTGAGACTCTCTAGACAATTCTGATTTTAATTTGCTCCAGATTTCTCAAGATGATCTAAGCAAATTTGAATCACAAATCAGTTTTAGAAACCCTGATGCCCTATGTAGCCTTGGTGCAAATTTTAGCAGCTGTAGACTGGAGCACACATCCTGCGTCTGTTTTGATCTGAATATGCATCTTCAAAGTAGCCAAAAGTGCCAAGAAAATCACTAAAATCAGGAAGAAATTCTTCCTACTGGTCTTAAACTTAGAGCTACAACATATTTGTTTAACAGTAGTTTTCCCAGGACTGGTGACCCCCAGTTTTGTATATAGTGAATTATTTTGTTTTCATTGTTTTACATAATGATTTTTAAATATCATTCCATTTAAAATTTCACTCTTCCTTTCCAACCTAACAACATAGATTAATAATAATAATTAATAATAATTAAAGTATAATGATAATATGTGTTTATTATACTAAATAAATATGGACTAATTAATGCTTATTATAAATTAAGTAAATATAATAATAAATAATACAGTAATAATATATGATAATATTATATTCTAACAAAATGTAATTCCATTTATAATTTCACTCTTCCCTTTCAACCTAACATGTTTTCCTTTTTAGACTTTTTGCCAAGGACTGAGATCTATAAACAAGCAGTTAAGAATACCAGAAAGTGGTCCTACTCAAAATAATCCTGTAAAGCAGTACTTCTTTTTGATGTATGAACCACTAAAACTATTAAAACACAAACACACTTTGGAATATTCTTTCTATTATTATGTATTTAAGCAAGGTACACCTAAGAAAGTACTTTCCTTATTAAATGAACTAATCTTAGATAGCAGTTATAATTACTGTAATGCTGTAATGACACATCTACATAATACATTTTTTAATCCTGTTAAAAAGGAAAAAAAGATATTTTATCTGTTCTAAAATACATGTTTCCATGTTTCAAGTTTTAACTTTAGATCTGATACAATAAAGTACAATTGCAGATTTTGTGTTCCAAAACAAAGGCGTAATTTATCTCTAGTGTGGATGTTACTATGTTAAGGAAAATAATCTAATGAGCCTTTTGGTGGAAAAAGATAAAGTTCTTGGAGCAGAGCTTTAATGGGTGCAGAAAGACAAAGAAAACCAAGTTTCTGTGCAGGATAAAGAAAGATGGAATTTGAAGTCTCCTGTACGACCCGTGGAGAGCCGGTAGAGACCTGAAAAGGACAGTAGGGGATAAATGTGAGAAAAGTGTAAAGAAAAGCACCCAACAACATGGCAAGAGGCTAGGGGCTTCAAAAGAAATAATGGCCTGTGACCAATTCAGTTATACGTTGTTGTTTTTTGAAAGATGTGCTCCACTCCCTCTCAAAATGAGAACGCAAGTCTGCTCCATTACTGTGTATGTTTGTTTAATATGCAGGTGGATGCTGTGGACCTGCATGAATGGAGGGTACTATACAGCATCTACCACATTTATTTGTTTCGTGGTCTACTTTATGAAGCAAAGTTTCATAAAATTAAGAATTACAACACTTTAGAGGCATTGGTGGAAATAAAATAGATGTCCAGGGAGAGGGGACTGCAGCTTTTACAGCTGGCTCCAATGTCAACTTTCCTGAGTCTCTTTCCTGTCTTTATATTATCTCTACTATGCTCACTTAAATCTCCACGACAAAATTTGAATTTTTACTGCCTGGCACATATAAGCTGTAATGATTCTGGGTCCTAACTTTCTTGCTATCATCCCATCTTTTATTCTTCAATCATCATTGGCATCACCACCACACTGACAGAATATTTAATCCAATTTCCTAAGAAGACTTATTTTGCCACCCACCCCCGCCCCTTATTTTTTTACTACCTCTGATGACTGTTGTCCCAAATGTCGTATTGAGTATATCCAGGCCTTTAGGTAATCCTGGCGTTTGATCATAAGATTTTCCTAATGGTGCTCGTTGATTGCTAAAATATATTGATTCCTTTTTATCATTAATTTTCTGTTGAAATGTTGTAATAGGCTGTGGGTTTAACAATACCTTTGCCTAAAGAAATCATACAAAGCACAGATGTAAGAACAAAAAAGTTAAAAATCTGAAAGCTGAAACTCTAATCAAATAGTTGGAGGAAAGACAATGATTGTAGAAAAGCAATTCCTAATCACTGGCTTTGGTCACCTTCAAATGAACTGTCAGAATTGGGGTTATGAAACTTAAACATGCCTAAACATGAACTTTCAAGGGGATTAGAAGGTTTTAAAGAGGCCACAAGGTTTATAGTGGACCTTCCAGGTTATTTGACTCCAATATTCCAGAAAAGTGGGAATGAAATACACAAGAACCACAACCTTACTTCTGAATCTGGACCGTCCATTCAATGGTTGGCAGAAAACATTCAGGCCCCACCTCCACTCAGTGTGTATCTAAGCTCTCTGTAGTGTCTTTAGGCAATAATTACCTAGCCTTTGTCATCTCAGCCCCCTAACAAGCTTGACAGCCTTTCTCTTTACTGTCATAAAATGGAGTGCAATTTGGCTTTTATTATCTGAGGAGAGAATATCTAGTTTGTGGCTCTTAAACCATTAATTTCTCTACACTCTTTTGGCTGTCACTTCTTAGATATTTTTCACTGCTCAAGATTAAGGGTGGGAAGGAGATTGGGCCTGATGATTTCGCTAATACCTCATTTGTGCATTTTCACCTTGATAAGTTAGTAATGTGCAGGGAAAAAAAGAAAAGAAGTTACCGGTACTGAAATTTTAGATCTTATTCCATGTGTCAAATAAGGTGCGATTTTAGGATCATTTGCTCTGCCATAAAATACTCTTTCGGCTCCAGCAGGTGGATGTCGGAAGTTGAAAAATTTCTTTGCCTCAGGTGGAGTTATTAACTACAAAAAGTGAAACAAGAAAATAGAATGATTAAGTACAGTTTTTTAAAATATTACGACTGATCTATACCAATCAATGAATACCCCTCACTGCATGAATGTAGTAAGCATATGGAAACCTACCACTCTATATAATGAAACTTCCTGAAATTTGGGGCTTTTTTTAATGGAAATAAATAATGTATTTTAAAAGTTATACTTAGGAAACAACCAAGAAGTATCCAGGTAAGAAAGCATATCATAATGACTATTTCCTGTTAAAATAAATGGAATCTCCTATAGTTATTCTCTAGAGCTGAAAACTTTAGAACTGGAATTTTTACTTCCTTAGACAAAATCAATAGAAGATCTCAAAATACAATAACGATTTCAAATCCACATCCAATACATTAAATTTATACAACTTTCATAAGGGATTTTGAGAGTTTTCTATCTTCTAATGTCTACGTGCTAGGTAATAATGTAAACACAAATATATGTTGAAAATGCTCACCCTGGGAAGTTTTTCAGTCAAGCAGTTTGCAACTCTGTATCCAATAGGAATAACTTTCCCTGCCTGAGGAAAAAAAGCGATAGTTGATTATTGTCAGGATAGAGAGAGAACATTTTGAAGAATAGACTATTTCGAATTTGGCCTATGCTTGTAATGCCACAAAGTTACTTTCAACTACTTAACACAAGGAAAAAAGAAGAAATTATAAAGCTAAAGCAATCTTGGTATATAATATGCATTTTTCACAGTGCTAGCATTATAATCCAATTATATGACCTCTGTGACAAGCTGAGGGATTCAACTTTCAGAAATACTCCTGTCATAGTTCACAGGTTAATTATTGCTTGTCTTAACAGTACAATGGGAATATGGCTGCGTTCAAGCTAAACTCAAGTTAAAATGTTAAGTATTTCTGAATGTGTATGGGTGCATATGTGTGGGGATATATTTCCACCAATACCTTAACTTTTGGCATATGCAAACTTGTCACTGCAGCCAGTCTCTGTTTACTTAATTCTAATTAGCTAATTAGAACTAAGAATTAGAATTATCTGTCCTTCTTTTGCCCAAGGCAAAGATCATAACTATCCATTCCCAGCAAGGTACCTCTTATCTGTGACTACTTTATCATTTCAAGGCAGCTGATACCTATGTCTGCAAAGCATAAATTTCTCTTTAAAAAACTGGTAGAAAAAAACTTCCCATAAAGAGTGTTCTGTGTCTCTGGTAGGGCCTGGGGGGAATCAGTTAGGAAAAAGAAAAAAGAGAGAGTTGGAGAGTTGGGTGGATGGATGAATGTATAGATATTGCGAGGAGGATTGATATATTAGATAAATAGAGAAATGGCTGGATGAAAATATAAAAAGATATATATGGATGGGTGAAAGTTTTTTCATTATGTTAAATGTTTAGTGCAGAATTCCTCTTCGGGAAAAACTATCAATGTTTAAGAGAGTTCCTTGATGATATCTCTCAGTATAAAAGACATGGCAAGACAGAGAAGTTAATTGCTTTACTTAAAAAATGAGAGAAAATATGAACTATTGGAGGTGGGAGGAAGGCAAGATCCAGCGACAGAGCGAGAGAAATTAGCCAGTGAGAAACATCCTAGCCTGAATGCCAAATCTTGAGTAAATTCTACTTATTCAACTATATTATGTGAAGAGAGTCTTGTGTGAAAAAGGAAAGGCACTGTGTTCTAACGTGGGCTGAAGCAGGGTGGAGAAAGCGTGAGATAATACCTTTTAAATTGTACTTTTATTTTATATGTAATCATGCCTTCCACTTTCCAATATCTGGAATGGGTTCAGAAATGCACCCCTCGCTGTTTGCAGAAGTTCCAGCTGACAGCAGAAAAATCTAGGATGGGATCAAAGGGACACTGGTATTTTCTGACTTTTACAAACGTACCTGTTTCTTTTCAATAAGAAAGAAGAAACAATTTCTATAGCCTTCGGCATTTAACTATTAAATATGAAATGAATCCAAAAAAAAAAAGGAGGAGAGATACAAGTGATTTTTAATTTAGCTGGAAATTATAAGAAATCTCAGCAATATCAGGGAACAGAAAGTCCCTCTTGCTATATATATTATAGGACCTCCAGCCATTATTTTAAACATTCAATGGAAAGATAACTCATAAAGCAGAAGGAACATGGAGATACTCAGCCAACTACTCTCTGGGTGATAGATGATTAGAGAGAGAGAAGGAAGGAAAAACTGGTTGATAAATCAATCAGCCCATGGCCTGATAGATAATTTTACTTGTCCCTCAGCTGCTTCCCTTCCAAGTGTTTGACAGTGGAAATTGAAGGGGTTCAGAACAGGACTCCCCAAAATGGGCTGCTTTGGCAAGTGGATCATTTTGAGCCAAAGGCAATCAAGACCCTGAGGGCCCAAGAGAAACTTTTACTTCTTCCTTAAAGAATTTAAATTGGGGGAGCGTGGAAGATTTCGCTTCCCAGCAATTGTTGTCAGTTTTGGCTCCAAATAAACTCTTATATGAATTCTCTAAAAGAAAAAATTAAAAAATTTAAATTAGGGGCCTTGCCCATAATAACAGTTATTACCAGAAATACTTTTTTATGGCCTATCCACCGTGTAAGAAAAACATCTACTGAACATCTGTTCTTATCATCCTTCGACGACCTTCCTCCCCTCAGAAGCCACAAGGTGCTGCATCTCATCCTTAGCTCAGAATGTCATATATACCTCCTTTTCCTTTCCTGTCTCTGACTCTCTTACTTATGTGGGGGTTCCCATGCATATGTAGGTAATGAAATTTGGTTCTCTTGTTAATCCAACCCTTTCGTAAGGGGCATTTACATTTTACAAAGGAAATTATAAAGGTGTCTTCCTCTCTGCAGCAGGAAAAGAAGTTTGACTCTAAATCTCCTGAAACTCTTATTAATGGAGAAGGCATCGACTTAAATCTGCAATAACAAGCCTACCCCTGGTTTACCATGCTTTCCCTGGTAACCTCCTAACATTTTTCTTTGGTCTTTAGCTAAAGATGGTAATTAAGGTGGTAGTTTGGGTCATCTTGGAGAGTTCCTTAGTATCTCCCATGAGGTTAATAAACTTCTGTTTGTTTTTCTCTTGTTAATCTGTCTTTTCTCATGGAGGCCTTAGCCAAGAATGCAGAAAGATAGAGGGAAAGTTATTATCCCTCCTCTACAGTTTCTCCACTGAGCTTCACAACATGCATATGCTCTATTCTTCATAGCTTACATTTTAAATCTGTCTGTCCCATACATACTCTCCAAGTTGGGTGAAAATCTATTGTGTCACTTTTAATGTGGTCCAGTAAGAGTCAAACAGAAGAAACTTTTGTTTTATGTATGTGGATACAAAATAAACGCATTAAGTATACAACAATACTTAGGCAAATAGCTAAATAAATAAATTATGGTACCTTCAAATGATATGCTATTGTTGACTCATTTAAAATGATGTATATAAATCATTTTTAATGATATAAGAAAATGTTCATTGTTGAATATGAATTCAAACAAATGTAAATTTGTATCATACAAATACAAATACAAATTTGTATCATACAAATAGAATCATAACTCTATGCAATACTCACAGAACACACAGAAAAAAAAGTTGTTCATTACGACTGCTATTTCTGAGTGGTAAGATTATAAGTGACTTTTGTTTTCTTCTTTGCTCTGTTCTCGGTATTTTACTACTATGTATTGCTTGATTAAGCAAAAGAAAGCAATAAGGGTTATCGGAAAGTCTATACACAATATCAAATAGAAGGAAAACAGCTGCAAGTTCACCAGACGTAAGAATGATAACCAAGTATATGTAGGTTCAGGACAGAAGCAGCTTTGATATCCAGTCCTGCTTGAGTCCTACTTCCTCAACTCTGAAAGGTGGCGTAGGGCCATCCTAATGACCTCCTTAAATTGAGAAAGAGAACAATGATCTTCTCTGAGGCTTTCTTTTGCCTCGGGAGTCTTTGCTATTAATACCCAGCTTCCTCACCCCCAAAATTAGGTCTAACCCCATTCCCCAACAAGCCCTAAAACACACTAGTACAGGGAACTCCTAGCAGAGACCTCAGTTACCACCAGTGGAAGGTGGAGCTCCTTAGCACTGTTTCCCAAACTTCAGTCCTATGAAAACAGTTAATAGATATATATTTTTTTTAAATTCGGTTAGTAAAAATTTAAATGATGCTGGACCTTTACCATACTAAAGTACATTTTAAATCTTAAAAGGGAAAAGCATTTTGTGATTTCCCATTAATTTTACCTTGGAGGCTTCGTTTGTTTGTTTGTTTGTTTGTTTGCTTATGATACTACACTATCCTTATATAAAAAAAAAACCTTATAGAAAAGTCTAGGCCAATTTTCATTTCTCTAAGTCTGTTTCTACTACTGACTTTATTCATAAAATAAAAGTTATATTTTTCCAAGGTTGGCAATCAAAGAAAAATCTCCATATAGATAAGACAATGAGTTGTTGATAACATAAATTTTGTCTCCTTTCTCTTAAAGATTTCTTCCCAATTACCATCTCAACCGCAGATTGCTTTTAGAGGAAGAAGTGCTGCCCTCTTAATTCTTGGGTTCAAATTTACATTAATTCCCCACAATGTGACTAAGACTAGCCTGGAATAAATGCTTTAATAATGGCTCAGAGATTTTTCAAAGGAGAGAGAAAAAGATAAAGTCTTAAACCCAGGGAGGAAAAATGAAATCAAATAATCTATTTGCAGGGTAAAGTCATCTACATCTTTGTGGCTCCTGCAGCAAGGACTCCCTATCTGATTTGTCACTCACTTCCACATAGTACTTTTTTAGCACCCACCACTCAGGACAAGCCTATGCTTCCCCAAGTTCAAGTCAAACATACAAATATGGCAAAAAGGCCATAAGGCTAGGTTCAAAAGTGATAAAAGAATGAATGGTTTTCTTTCTCTCTCTTTCTTTCAAAATTAATTTGTTCGAGTAATACATATTCTTCACTTAAAAATCAAAGGGTTTTAATAAAAAATGGCATTTCTCTGCCCTTTTGTACCTAGTCCCGCTTCTAGAATTGTCTTACACTTCAGCTATTTCTTCTGGTATTTATCTTCACATTCCTGTATAAGACCCTTATATTGCTATCTATTAATTATGGTAGAGAAAGCTATCACTCTCTTACATCATCACTACTTTCCCTCTCCCATCCTTTCAATAGGGTAACATTACAATTTTTGATAAAGCCAATAGTATTTATATTATCACAGATTGCTGTTCACTAATGAACCAAGTAGATGTACTATAAGTATGTTAGTTTTTTCCCAAGTATTGCCTATGCATTTGCTTTTCTTTTTCCTTAATGTGTCTGTTTCTAAATCTTTCCCAGTGCTCTGACTGATCTGTCGAAATTCTAAGGTCTTTTTGTTTGATTTATAAATTCCCTTCTACAATGCTTACTCTTCCTGCCTCAGTCTCAGCTGTTGCTCTTTGAGTCTGGTACACAGGTCTTGTCCTGGGAATTTTTCCTTTGCCATTCTTCACAGCTAGATTGCCCATTCTGCCCATCTATTCTTCCATCTGGGT